GAATCCAAGGCAAACACTCTAACAACTGAGCTATATCCCCAAGCCCAAAACTGTAATTTTAAGTGTAATGCTTTCCCAAGTTCTCCAGAGTTGTTCTAGTGAATTACAGATTGATAGCTGTTCAGAACCGAGGGTCACCTGGACCTCCAAACTGTCAGAAGTGGGGGCAGTTTTGTGGACTCTGAGTGGCTGGAGTCATAAGTCACTGCACTCTCCAGAACAGCTCCTCACAGTGTTCACTGTCACAGCGAATGGCATGTGCATCCATCTACCCAGCAGCTCAAGGTACAAAGCAGGCTGCCACGGGCCATTCCTCCCTCTGAATCCCCTCCCACATAAGCACCGAATCACACATCCTTCTAACTGAGAAGTCTCAGTTCTAGTCACTTCTCTCCAGTTCCCTTCAGGCTATGACACCTAACATGATGGTTCTTTGCCTTTCCTGTACCACTCTTCTCATTGCTCATAGAATTCTGGCCACAGGTACCTTCTCTCTGATTCTAGACTTGTTGAATTTATTCCTACATTGAGGCTTGCTGCTTGCTGTTTCTTCTGCTCTGACTGTTCTCACAGGTCTCTGCCTAGCTGCTCCTCATCATTTAGGACGTGCCTCGTCCTCGAAGTGGTCTGTTTCACTCTCCAGTTCCAAGCAGCTGTCTAGCAACCATCTCATCCTGTTTGATTTCCACCACAGCTTATTTTTATTTTGATATTTTTCTTCCTTGTCAGAATTAAGTTCCACATCATATTCAATACTGTATTTCCAGGGCCTAGAAGAATATCTGGCACACAGAAGATGATCATTTACTGAATACCTTAATTGGATATTCAGATCTTACTGAATCTGCAGAACATGAATATCTCAGCAGCTTCCTCTGACTTTTGTTTTGCCCTCTTCAAATCTACTCTCCACACTGTAGCCTGAGCCATCCTTTCAAAATACCAAAATGATGACATCACTAAAATGGGGCTCACTACTTTATTCACAGAGCTCTTTCTCTGGGACACAAAGCACAGGCCCTTTGTGATCTGGCTTGTTACCACTCCTGGTCTATCCTCATCTATTCAGGCTTGCTGCACTATGGCCAACATCCAACATCCAGGCTCTCTAGCCCCTGGATTTCCTGTAAATGGCTCTCTTCTATGACAATCACCTCTCCTCCTTAGTGTGCCTTGTTAACTCATGCTTCAGGTCCCCTTAACCACCATTTCCTCTAGAAAACCTTCCCTGTCCTCCCATAGTCCAATCAGACTGTCCCATCCTCTGTGCTCCCAGTGTTCTCTGTCCCATCCATCATACTGTTGATATGGGATGTCCTGTAACTGTCTGGATACTTGCCTGTATGCTCAAGAGCACAAGCCTCTTGGGGGCAAAGCCTTGTCTTATTCAGTGGTACTGTTAGTCAGTGGTACTGTTACCATAAGGGAAGAGCCTGTGGGCACACTGTAAGGTGCCTAATATATATGTACTGAATTCATTTATTATACTAGAAAATTTGCTGGCAAATTTAGATGTCTTTGTTATTCCTTCCATGCTCCCTATAGAGTTCAATTCAATGTTCTCAGAATAGGCACTCAACAAATACTGTGTAAAAGTAAAATGATTTCCTTAACCCAGTGAAAGTAAAGAGAAAAATCAAGGAGGCTCAGGTTTCTTGATAATGCAATATGCTTATTTAAGGAGACTAGCAAGACCACTAATAAGCTTCAAGTTAAAGAGCTAAACTTATAGTTCATAATTAAGTTATATGATCTCTTTCAACATGCTTCTTTTCTATACTGCTGCTAACATTTTATTGTGGCTATATACTCACAGAGGGATATTTCAGCCTTTGTTCAAAAATACCTATGATAATAAATAAGCACTGCATTCCTTAATTGTAGGGAATCTGTTTATAAGTGCTGTACTGTAAAGACATGAATGAGTAAAATTTTTCTTGGCAAGAAAATCCAACCAAGTGTTACTGAAGGATAAGAATTACTATTCTCTGTTATTATGATAATTTACATAAAAATATGTACAAAGATGTATGTTCTACCCATAAAGTAATCCATCAGTTTTTAAAACAAATGTGCTAGAAGTTACTGGTATTATGTGTCATTCAAAGCAGTCTTCTGTGGGAACTTATTCCCATAATAAGACCAAAGCTCAAAGAGTTTTAGGAAACACTTTTGAAAATGCCATTAGATCTGCATCTATGCTTTTGAACATCCTCATGGACGACCAATCTTCACTTTGAAAGTGACTATTTACCCCTGCAAGCAACTAGTGAGTAGAACATGGCTAGTACACAAGATTACAGATCATGATATACTGGATCAAAAACAAGGCACGTTTGGGTCAAGAACACTGACAATGTGTAATCTTCCTTGTGTAAAGTTATATGCTCGTTCTGAAAACAATACCAAGAGAAGTTCTAGAAATGTTGAGACAGAGTAAAATAGTGTTTAAAAGAAATAATGTCTATGGAGTCATAGACCCTCATGAAAATTATGGCTCCCCTGCCTCCTCCCCCAAATTGCATATAATATCAGAAAGGTATAAACATGCTAAGGTCCATTTATGTGGCCAGATTTGTTTTGTTTTGTTTTCATTTTAATTTATTCTGTGCAGTTTAAAATGAAAGTTAAATCATACAAACCACAGAAACAGAAATAGTACTGACCAATTTTTAAAGAAAATCACTGATTGTTTATGCACATTCCCCACCTTTAAGGTTACACCTTGCTGTATGTATAAAGGTACTATTAACATACACAGGCTATTCCTCATATGCTTATTTGTGGAGCAGCAGGATGACAATGCATCAGAGCACAGCATACAAGGTTTCCTTTAAGAAACCACAGCAGCAGTATTTGGTGAATAGTTATGCATAGAACTGACTCTGAGGTAATGCTGAACATTCCTTATTGAATGTAGCAAGGTACACTAACAAATGGGAAATGTAACTTTTAATATAAAATGTTACTCTTTATGCCTTAAATGTAAAATTCTGAGACACTTTAAAAGCACACAACACAAGATGCTTTAACTCCAGACTCCATAACCGAACGTTATTCTATTGGTTGCTGAGCCCATGACATTTGAGGATGGCTCATTGGCTTTTTAAAGTTAACTTCAAATACATAAGCATTTAGTTTACCAGTCAAAATCTATAGCTACATTGATTACATGTTACATTAAAACATAACTATGGAGAAAGGCTGACTTTTAAAAAGATTGCATTGTTTTCTTCAAAAGTGTTATTCTTAAAAGCAACAATGCACTACTTCCAATCTTGCAACATGTTGTGTGAATCCATAACTTTATGTCTTTTAAATCTTTCAACAAAATATTTTGAAATGGTTCTTAAACCTAATAACATCTAAAGAAATGGGTAGGCATGTCTGTGAAATGGCTATCCAATACATAACAATGCTTCCCCTATGAAAATCCAGTGAGTGCATTCTATATTTACCTTGACATAAATATTTCAGACCTCATTTAACAGAGCTATATAAATATTTAGTGTTTTTGGCATTTAAATCCGAGCAATGCTACCATACAGGCAATTTTCACTAAAAGGTTCAGAAGCAAAAGACTGATGTGGGAATGGTTAGCTGAGAAGGAAATGAAACCAATCCCCGAGTTCCTGAGTTTAGAATCAATCCTTAAAAAGATGGTGTATTCCAGAACCATCATTTTGGGGGAGGGTTAAGGTAAGAGTTTACTGTTTGTGGTCTGGATGCAGTTCTGGTAAAATTCAGCTACAAAAACAATAAAACAAAACAGGAAAAAGAACAGAAGCACCATACCACATAAATAAGTCTGAGTTAATAACTATTTCTCTTCTATCTCTTAGTGGCCATAGATATAGGTACTATGTTAAGTGGGGTGCATGAAACGAAAGTTTTAAATAAATAATTACTCTGCAGATTCTTCATTATTGACATCTGTAATTCCTCTTCACTCTCTCATAATGAGTTATAGCATGGCAAGTGTGAGCTATTAATATGCTCTTAGGTATATTTCTTAAGTAAGTAGAACATTTCTTAAAATTCTATAAAATAAGCTTGAAGCATAAGTACCAATAAATAATTATGAGGCCAGATTAAAACTCCATGGTTTAGAACAGTAGCTCTCAGCCACGATGGTGGTACATGCCTCTAATCCCAGCAACTCAGTAGGCTGAGGCAGGAGGATCCCAAGTTCAAGCCCAACCTCTTAGCAACTTAGGTCCTACACAACTTATCAGGACACTATCTCAAGATAAAACAACAAAATAAAGGGCTGGGGATGTAGGTCAGTGGTAGAGTGCCCCTGAATTCAATGGGAGGGAGGGAAGGAGGGAGGAAGGAAGAAAAGGTACACTTTCTTTTTTTTTTTTTTCCTTTGCAAACAACAGGGGGAAAACATTCATTTTTTACTGTGACCCAGTTTGAATTTACATACATAAAATCAAAATCAAAAGTTCACAAAACAGCTGGGCTGTAATCCCGGCGGGTTGGGAGTCGGAAGCAGGAGGATTGTGAGTTCAAAGCCAGCCACAGCAATTCAGTGAGGTGCTAAGCAACTCAGTGAGACCCCGTCTCTAATAAAATACAAAATAGGGCTAGGGATGTGGTTCAGTGGTCAAGTGCCCCTGAGTTTAAAAAAAAAAAAAAGTTCACAAAACAATTTTTAACCCTATCATATATGATAGTATTTTCTTGTATTTAAGAACAGTGTTACTTATGATTTACTACACCTTCACAATTCATAGTCTGAAATTACTAGTAACTTGGAGTAACTGAAGCATAACTAGAGTAAGTTAATGAAAAAAAAAAAGGGAACTCATTTGATTATAAAAATTCTGATATGTTATTTTAAAATAACAAACACAAGCCTTTTTTATCTACAGTCAAACCTCCCAAGAGATTAGATCCTTTATGTCAAAACTATCTTGACTTAGGTCATTCATCCACATGGCTAACTACTGGAGACTCTGATGGGTAAATCATATAACACAGAAACCCCATACCTTAATATTAGAGAACCATAAATCATTCTCATGTAAGGTGGCAAGGTAGACAGATGTAAGAAGTCCAATGCAAAGGGCAATGGTCCCTCCAATTGTAAATGACAGAATCTTCCAAAATCTTCGGCTGGCACAACCTTTTAGAAAAATCAAACAGGTAAATGAGTATAAGGAATTTAGCATTTCAAAGTTGTATTTTATACTATAAAGTAAGCTAAATTCCAGCTGCCTGTCACTGGTGAAGGCTTCCCTATCCCCAGAAACTAGTTAAGGGCACCTTTCTGTGATGCCACAGACACAGTCTTATTTTCATTCTCTTGCTCTTTTTTTTTTTAAATACGGGGTCTTACTATGTTGACCAGGCTGGTCTCAAATTCCTGGCCTGAATTGATCCTTTTGCCTCAGCCTCGCAAGTAGCTGGGACCATAGGCATGCACCACTGTGCCTGGCTTATTTTCATTCTAATTTTTTAACCCCACTATATCTAATAGTTCATTTTTCCAACTAGAATATGAGTTTATCATACCCACGCACACTGTTTTATTCATTTATAATGCCTAAGACCTGTGCCTGGCATAGGTGAATAGCTAGAGTTCACATATAAAGTCTGCTAAATGGAGGAATAAATAGGTTATAAGTATAGGATGTGAATAATCTTCTAGATGATCTACTTATAATTTGTAGTTTCTACATTAAAACCTTGCAAAAAACTTCATTACTTACAATTAAAAAAAAAAAAAGGAAAAATAACCTCCTAACTTAAAGGAGATATATAAAACAGAAAAAATATAGCACATTTAAGAGAGTTTAAATGTCCTTAATACTGGATACTTTCGGGATAATAAAAAATGATTAATATTTTAGTGGGAAACAGATGCACAAAAGAAAAAAATGGCCAATAAATGTAACAGACTGAAGAAAAGATGTTCAAATTCATTCAAATTTATTAGTGTTAAAGAAATGCAAATAAAAACAATGAGCTATACTTTTTAAAACTCTCCGCTAAGCCATACAGGGTGGTGCATGTGTCTAATCCCAGTGGCTCAGGAGGCTGAGGCAGGAGGATTGCAAATCTAAAGCAATTTAGTGAGACCCTGTCTCAAGATAAAAAATTAAAAAAACAAACAAATAAACAAACTAAAAAGTGTTGGGAATGTGGCTCAGTGGTTGAATCAGGGCCCTCAGCCAGCCTCATGCTCCTGGGTTTAATCCCTGGTACCAAAAACAAAAGCAAACAATACAAAACTTGGCAATGTGGTAGCTTACAAATGTTAATACTCTTGTTTGGAAAGGGTATTTTTAAAAAAGTTGACATTTTCAAACACTGCTGGTAGAAGAACTAGTACCTTTCTGAAATGCAATATGGCAAGAAGAATTAAAGTTACTAATTGAGCAAACCATTTGACCAGGAATTCCAAGACTAGGCATTTACCCCAAGGAAATAATTAAAGTTTTAAATAAATATTTATAATAATTCTATTTGTATTAGTAGAAAGGATATTTATCATAATTCTATTTTTATTAGTAGAAAGTTAAAAAAGCCATCATAATATTCACCAACAAGTATAGCTACATAATGGAATATTATACACTATGATGTTTTAAAATTATGCCTATAATTCTAGTGATTCGAGCGGCTGAGACATGAGGATTGCAAGTTTGAGGCCAGCCTCAGTAACTTAGTGAGACCCTGTCTCAAAAAAACAAAACAAAAAAACAAACAAAAAACCCCCCAAAAAACAAAAATTGCTGGGGATGTAGCTCAGTGGTAAAGCACTTCTTGGTTTGATCCCTAGTACCACAAATAAATAAATAAATTTTAAAAATTTATTGTCTGACTTACGTGTTCATAACATAATAAGGAAAAATAGCAACTTTCAAAACAGCATGTGGGTCTCAATTTTGTAAAAGTAAATATGAATGCTTATTGGTATACATATTCCAAGAACAAGCTAAACAGGTCATCCATGGTAGACTTGGGATGGGTGAGTTTGGGGGAGTGTTTTTTCCTTTTCCATTTTTCTTTAGTTTTCAGTTTTTTTTTTTTTCCTGATGTGAATAAATATTGCTTTAGTAAAAAAAAAAAATCCTCAAAGTTGTGTTTAAATGTAAAACAAATAAACAAATTCGAATTTGCATTGCATAAGGTCAACTATTCTGTATTGTCTAAAATGCATTAGATATAAACAGCTGAGCTGAGTGACAAGACCTCCCAATACACATTTATTTTACCAAACTGCTTTCTCAAATGCATACTAACTCTGGTAAGAATTGACATGGCTGCAAAGAATATAAATTGTCAGATATTCAAAATGGCCAATAGGCTTGGAATTTTTCATGTTTGCTTTTAAAATTCTGATCATTCTTAGTTAGAAAGGCAACTCAGAAGGTAAAAAGTTGGCAATTAATGCTATCTGATGTGTTGCTTAGTGAGTCTTCTGTATTATGTGAACACTTTATCAAGTTCTAATCACTCTTCCTGTCCCCCTCTCCAAAAATGATCAATTTCAGGAATTCAACTGTGAATAAAGAATACAAAATATTTTCATTCATCTTTCAATACTTTAATGAAATGAGAAACTCATTCAAGGTAGGCTGCTTATGGTAAATAGCATTCACAAACCAGAAAAATAGGAATAAACTAAAATCTGGATGATGGGTAAAGTACTACTCTAGAGTCATAGAATCAGATTGGCATAACCACAAATTAATGAATACACAACACATGAAGAATTCTAATCAAAGTTCTTTCATCTAATTATAACTGTAAAACCAATATAATCTAATAGCAGTCAGACTATTAGGGGTGCTAGAACAAGGTTCCTCAATAGTTAAGTCTCACCTAGCTTTTACCCTATTAGAGTGAAATTTTAATATGCACATATAAAAGCAATCCCAAACACTGCTTTAATTTAAATCACCTACCAGAAGACAATTTATTTTCCAACTTCACATTTTCTTTTTGTGCTGGAAAATCCTCAGAAACTTCTGTGGTTTTTACCTCTTTTCTTTGCCGGATGTACATCATGATGTCAAAGACATGCATGCATTGTTCTTCCAGTCACTTCTACAAATAACATAGAAATAAATGGCCCATCTATATGCCAGTCCCCTCTCCCCAACACACCCCATGCTCATGTGTGCTTAAGTGACAACCTGGGCTGTTGTCCCTTGTTTAGTAGGCCCTTCCATTTTCTCATCCAAATCTCAATCAGTTTTCAAAGCTACACTCAAGATACAATATGAAATATTTAACTCAACTCTATGAAGTGCTTGTTCTCCAACAGGTACTGCCAGAAATTAGGATTACAGGTAAGCTACACCCCTGCCCATGACCTTCCAGGAAGCCTTCTTGGATGCTTCAAGTGGGCTGATATTTTTCTTCCCAGATATATGGCACTTAAGCATACAATTTGTTACACAGTCACAGAGTTTCAGGTTATATTCTACAGTTCCACAGGCAATAGATTTTCAGTATCTTCCACAGAACTGACCACGTGGGAGAGATTTAATAGTAAACTGTTGTCAGCCAGATTTTAAAAAACTGAGAGTTTTTTTTTTTTTTTTTCTGTCTCTGAATTTTAACACCTGTGTTCTTTACAACAATTCATGCTGGAAGATTTATGCCTCAGTGGTGATGACAGCGGGGGTGTACCAATCAGGGCAGCTGCTATCCCGGGGAGCAACAGTGGGTGTTAAGGCAGGGAGCAGCAGCCTAGTTTGGAAGCTGCAAGTGGGAGGCGGGGGTGTGGTGGCAGTGAGTAAGCTGGTTCCAGGCCCCCAGAACATCTTGCTTCACTCCTCTGAACAATGAGTAGCATTTTGCTAATTACTTATTAATATGATCAGTAGCCTGACATGATTGTTTCAACAGTTTATTAAATCCTAAAGGCAAACAGCTTACTCTATGTAACAATCCAACCAATAGGATACAATTCATTCATTCAAAAAACCGTGAGAAGGAAAACAGACTTAAGTTCTTTGCCTTCAAGCACGGGAGACTGAAGCTGGAGCAGTGAGAAAGGAGTACAGCAATGTCCTACAGCCAGAAATGAGCTTATGCCCTCAGATGGCCTAATCCTAGAACCATGCCCTCTCTAAGGTGGAGAGGAGTTTTAAAGACAACAGTGTACACATTCTAATATATTAAGTCAGAGAGTCTACAAATACTAAGAGAGCTAATTATGTGTCTAGACTGCGGTAGTTTCACTTACTGTGAAACAAAAGTTCCTCCAGCAAACGAAACAGAATGCCATTTTAAACGTATGCAAAAAGGATCTGCTAGCAATTCTTTATTAGTGGGAATGACTAGTACAGCAGTGCGCATCCTCTGGGCGCGGCAGGGCTCTGTGTTCCGCTTACCTGCGCACCACACCCCAACATCACCTGGCGTCCCCATCTGAGAGACAACCAGGGAGAGGCCGGCTGCTGAAGTTCAGGCGCTTTGCTCCAGCTCACCAGGACGGCGAGTGGTCGCGGAGAATCGAGCCCACGCCCTCCCTCCGCCCGCGCGGCCAACTGCGGAGAGATAGCTCCGCAAAGTTGCTCTCTCCGGAGTTTCTGCCCCTGACCCCGCTTTTCCGCCCGACATTCGCGTGCTCGGTCCCCTCCGGACGCCCCAAGTGCCACGGCCGCGCCTCCCCGACTGCGCTCGCGACGGGGCGGGGCCGCCCGAGAGCCTTTGGGCCGTCGCCGCGGGTTCCGCGAGACGCCACCAGGCGGGACGCAGCAGGCACCCGCCCGCCCCGCGAGACCTCTGGGGCCCTCCGCGAAAGCCTGGCGCCCGCGTGTTCCCTCGCGGCCCGACACGCAGCCACAGACCTGCGGTCTCAGCCGTCCTCACGCGCGGCTCCAGTGGGGTAGGAAGCGGGCCAGGCTAGGCGGCGCCGAGGGCCGCGGAGGCGGGGCCTCACTACGGACCGCAGCGCGCGGCAGGGACAGGAAGGACTGGGCAGCAGCGGAGCTTTGTGCAACACGGTGGAATAGGGGGCCGGGGGGCGTTGGCAGCCCCGGGAAAGGGGCGCGCCGGGGAGGCCGGTCCGCCACGGCTGCACCCATAGGTCCCGGAAGCTGCCTGTTAACGGGAGGCTCCACCCCCTCCCGCGCCGCCACGCCCCGTCTCGTGCGGCGCCGGCCGGAAGGAAGAGGCGAGCTTCCGCTTGCTGGTCCCGCCCAGCCTGTTGGCAGCCCTGGGAAGAGCCTGCCAGCGGAGCTGCTGGACAAGCCCCGCGGTCAGCGGGTGGTAGAAATTAGTTCGCTCATGCAGACGTCCGTCACCCGGGGCTGGAGCGAGAGGTGCGGTTGAGGGGAGGAGGGACTCGGTCGCTCTGAGGAAGGGTCGCTCCAGGTCCGACGATTGAGAGCCCCACTTGGGCCCCTGTTTGGGCCTGGGAGCCACCAAGGCTGGGTTTGCGGAGTGTGCTATTGAAAACAAAACAAAACAAAACAACCGCCCCCCCCCCAAACTTTCTTCCTACCTGTACCCTCCTGTGCCCATGTCCTGCTGGATGCGATGTTCGTAAGGGAAGGTATGACGGATTGAGCAGTCAGGTCACTTGGACAAGTCCCGGCTTCCCACGTTGCAAGGACTGCCGCGCCCCTCCCTGGGTCCTGACGCCCCAACCCTCCGATTTCTGCTGATTTGGGCTTGGATGTTAGTTACTGACTGCCAGTGAGAGTACCCGCGGAAAAGCTTTTGCATCTCCTACGATGCTTCTGTAGTGTTGGTGTCCCGGGCACTGTTTTGTCAGTTTTTTCTTCCAGAATATGGTCCTGCAGTGTTGAATCTGGTATGTTATTCCATCACCAAACTGGATTTTAAGTCTTTTTTTGAGGGGACCTACTGTGCTTATATCTAGATAGATATCTTTAGTAATTACATTGCGAAAACCCGTAGGTAAAACCTTTTACTTAGCGCATACTCAAAATAGATGTTAATTGAATTTTGATGACGAACTGCCATTTGGGACCTTCACCTGTGAAAAGGCGGCTCATCCATCTAATGCCTAATTCCAACACGAAATTACTGCATCCAGGAAACCTTTTCTAGTAACCCCTGCCTCTTCGATATTTTTCTCCTTTTTGTTTCCATTGCTATTAATAACAAGCACACTCCGTGAATGGTCGAGATATTTGCTGCGTTGCTTTAATAAAAATGATGCCAACTTTTTTTTCAGATGATATTTGTTGTATTTCTTAATGGTTGTTGGGTTCTCTCTCCTATGGACTTGAGGGCAGGAACTGCATATTTATAATTTTTAATATTGATTCCTTACATAAAATATTTGTTAAGTACATATGTGTATTGATTCCTCTTTAATTAGCATTTTCCCTTATTGTACTCAGTAAGTTTTTTTTTTTTTTTTTAATTTTAAGTTGTCTCACTCTGGGGGAAAATGTGACTTGTGAAATAGCAAGGAAGTACTACTTATCAGCTACGTTTATTTTAATATTATGAAATGGTTTTACTAAGCAAGATAAAGCTTTAAGACTTTAATAAGAAGTAGGACCCCCCCCCCCATGAGCAAGGAGTTAGGGAGGGACCCTAAAAGGCATAAGCTCTGGAATGGATAAGACTGACTGCAGTAGTACACGAGTATACTGATTGTTTGCACTGTGTTTGGAAGTCCTAGGTTTTTTCTGCTCTGTTGAGCAATAGTTGAGTTTTGCAATTGTTAAGTGTGGTATGGGGACCTGCTGCATCACTAGCACCATCACCTGGGAACTTGTAAGAAATGCACATTATCAGGTCCTCCATACCTATTGAATTAGTCTCAGTAAGAGTTGCCACCCACTAGTCTGATTTGAAGTTCTCCAGATGATTTTTACTTCGAGAACCACACCAGAACCTTGCTACTCAAAATATGGTCTGGATTGGCAGCATGGCCATCACCTGGGACCTTAGAAATTCAAGATCTCAGGCCCTGCCCAAGAGGTATTAAATCAGAAGCTGTATTTTAATATGATCTCCAGGTGATTATATATCATACTTTGAGAAGCACTGCACCAGAAAACATTAATACTGTTCATCACATCCCTCCCATAGAAGTGTCATGCCTTGGGACCAAGGGTGAGAGCTCTCCTGTTGATGTCTTTCTTTTCTGGTGTATGATGTTCAGTGTTAAGTTGCTTGACTTAGAAGTATGAACACTCTTGATCATTCCTGCTTTCTGCAACAATAGACTGTCAGGTGTTCCTTCATTTACCTTTCTGGTATTCTTTTTCAGTCTCTTGTGCATTCTTTCCTCTTAAAAATATTTTTTTGGTGGGGGGGCGTGGCTCCAATATTTACTGATCTTCTGATAAAAAAACACGATTTTTTAAATGTCTAGATATATTTCCTGATGTTCAAGTCCCATATGTCCACTGCCTGTTGGACATTTGTATATGCAAACACCTCAAACTTAACATGTGCAAACGTTAAACTTTTTAAAAAGCCTGGGTTTTCTTCTTTGTGCCTTGTTCACTTAACTGCTCACATACAAAACATAGAAACCAGCCTTGACTCCTCCCTGTTGTGTAATCTGTATTATCCAATCAAACACGGACTCCTGTGTTGCCTATCTCCTAAATATCTGAGAACTTTCCCACTTCATTTCTGTTGCCACCACCTAAGTCTACCATTTCTTACCTGGATCATTTCAGTAAAATTTTTATTTCCTTACCTCCATTCCTGTTCCTTGTCCTTGTTCTTTCAATCCACCCTCCATCTAATGAGTGGTCATACAAAAATAGATATCCCTTGTTGGCTTATAACAAAGTTTGCAAGGACTGTCACAATCAGGCTCCATTCGTTTGTCTTCATCTTCATATAAATTTTTCAAAGTTTTGCTCATGACTTTATATAAATGATTCTTGCACTCATTTTACCTGGCAACTTTAGATGTCAACTTAAATGATCCTTGCTGCCTGGTATTCATACCCTTGTGTAGTCCTGTCTCAATGAATCATAGCTTGGGACTTCTGAGGCTAAGTTATAAAAGACCTTCCAGTTTCAGCTTTAGCCTCTCTTGGATTACTTACTTAGGGAGGATACCAATCACTGTCTTTTGAGCACACTCCAATAGCCTGTAGAGAAAGCCATGTGGGCTGCAACTGGCTGTTAGCCACCAAACTAGCCATCCATGGAGTGAGTGAGCCATCTTGGAAGATGATCAGCCAGCTCCAGGTCACCCTTTTGCTGACATCAGAAGACCCCCTCCCCCAGTCAGAACTGCCTGTGTTATTCAAATATCTACCACAGAAACAGGATAATAAATGTGTACTGTTGTTTTATACCACTAAGTTTTGGGGTAATTTTGTTATGCAACAGTAGTTAGCCAATAGAGTAATAATCACTTCTGTGGATGTGTTTTAATTTAATTTCTTCTCACCTAATGGGACATTTGCATTGTTTCTGATTTTGAGCTTTTATAAGCAGTGCAGTAAGAACACTCTTATACATATGTAATTCTTTAGGAAATGTTTCTAGAAATAGAATTGCTAGAGCTCATATTCTAAATTGTGTTAAAAATTGGCAAACTACACTCCAAAAAGGTTAAAAATTCTATTACTTTTTTTTTATTGCCAATAACGTGTATTACAGTGCTCATTTCTGTATGCCCTTGCCAACAATGGGTATCTTTAATCTTTGCCAATCTTAGGTGATGGTATATCATTAATTTATATGTATGTATTGGTGGGCTGAAGGCAATGATAACAGGCATTTATTGGCATTTTTTTGTTCCTTTTTCTGATTTGTCTTTCTGTGTTTGTTGGCCAATTCATCTATTTAGTCGTGATGTGAAGGGATTATTTGTAGATTACGGATATATATTAACCTTTTGTCATATTCATTGCAGGTATTTTTTTCATTATTGTGTATCTTGGTGTATTTTACTCTACAGGGATCTTCCATTTTTATATGGTTTAATTTACCATCTTTCCTTTATAGTTCTAGGTTTTTCCATCATGCTTACAAAAACATTCCTCATATTAAAACTAAATTTTTATACTTTCTTCTAGTATTTTAAAGTATTCTATCTTTTTAATAGTGAGATAGAGCTGACATAATCCTTTTTCTAATTGGACAGTTCATTAGTTCAGCATCCTTAGTCTACTCATTTGAATTATTTTTACAATATACTAAGTTCCTATATGTGAATGACCTATGTATAAATTATTATGCTTCAATGATTAAAACAAGGAACTAGTCTTACAATAGTCTCACATGTTTTTAATTACTGTTTCTTGATAGAATGCATTTTGATATTTGGGAAAGCAACTCTTATGCCTCTTTTTAAAAAATTGTTTTTTTTACTTGTCAATGGACTTTGTTTATGGTCTCTCTCTCCTCACACATTTAACTGTGTCACTACAAATGGAAATCCCAATATCTTCTATCTGCATCCCATTGCCTTATTTTATACACTCCTTGTATACAACTCATGTCAGAGACCACAGAGGTGGGTTGTGTTGATGGCATTCTTCTGAGCCTCGTTTGGACACTTGGTTCTCAAGGGACCCAGGCCAAGTCATAGGGATCAGCTGTTTTGGTGCTCACAGATCATTCCAGTCACACAGGAATTAATGTTATGCTAGATTCTTTCTTCTCTCCTTTCTAATACATGTCCATATATAGCTCCTTTTCTTGTGAGAGTCTTCAGAAAAGCATTTTGGAATAGTATTTTTCTCTTCTTTTGATCAACACTGTATTAATTAAATCTGAAGTGGTTTAAAATAGCAAAATTCATAGATGGACTGGCAGAGGTGCAGACTTACTTAAGGATTCTATTAAGCAAAATTAAAGTTACCAAAGTATTTAAACACGATCAGTTTTGTTTCATTTTCTTCCTTAACACCTGCTATTCTTCTTACCTCTACTTTCTTGTACTTTTTTTCATTTCCATGGTTACCACCTACGCTTTTTTCATTTTCATGGCTAGAATAACCGTTATAT